TGAAATGGATTTAAGCAATGGTGGCAGTAAAACTTTTTATTAGTGTTGCTATTGCTCTGACAGTTTAGTAATCTACATTTGTTTTTTACTAATACGTAATGATAGTGATTATCTTCATCATAGACTTTTAATAAATCTATTTCGTATTTAGCATTTCTATTTTTAGTGCCTCTATGTAATATGATTTTGTTGTCATTTAAGCAGTCATCGGGTTCAAACACATTTATTGAAACTGATTTATTGTTCTCTTCAAATCTGTCAATGTCCCTATTGCCAGTTGGAAAATATACACCATCCCAGTTCAAAATATCATCTTTCAGTTTATTATAGTGGAACATTTCCTCTGGGTGATGTTTGCTTATTTTTTCATAGACTTTGGATTGAATACAATATTTGAAGCATTTTTGGTCTTTGTTCTTTATGTTGATACATGCCTTTTTTAGTTTAATCCATTCAGGTAATTCTATGTATCTCCCTGCTCTTGTTGGGTTATATTTGTCATAGTGAATGGTTATTGTCAAAATATTCTTAAATCTTAAATTGGATGCTGATGCTTCTAAATTCTGTATTTGTAATAAGATTTGTTTAACACTGTCTTCTATTGCTTGCGTCAGTTCATCCTCATTACTGATATTAACGCGGGTTGAAGGTAAGGCATATATAAGTTCTTGACTGCCAATTTCATTTCCTCCATCATTATACTCAGGTGTTTCAAAAAATGTTTCCGTTCTTATGTTAAGTTTCATGCTTCTATTATTTCTCAAAAACTCCAATAGTCTTGGTTTTTGGTGTGCAATCATTTCCAGTCCTCTTTCTCCTTCAAAGTGTTTATTTTCTAAAACTATTGAATTAGCATATCTCCTAAATGCTGATTGAATATCTCTGACCCTAAATTTGTTTCTGATTGCGTGTTTGGTTAGTATTTGTCCCACTCTTCCTTCACTGAACGCATCTTTTGCCTTGTTTAAAGCATAACTTCTGTATTCATTAGTTTTCTTGACCGTCAGTAGTTTCTTTGTTAAGACCGTAGATATTGGTTTGTCTTTGTTGTATCTAAATTTTTTATCATCTATTATTATTGACTTTAATTCTCTTCTTCCTCGTTTTGGTATTTCTGCTAAATCATTACTCAAAATCATTACTCAATAAATAGTTTATAACCTTTTTCATCATATAATAGTATATATTTTATTTAGTTAATTTATCTTTAAGTAGTTTTTCAAAGAATTCTACATTTTAATCTTCGAATATATATTGAAAGACTAAGTTATTTATATAAGTTTTATAAGACGAATTGTATGAAGGGCTTGCCTGTTGATGCGTTGCGTAAAATCGTTTCTTATAAAATTGGAGACCCTAAATATTTGAAAATAAAGCATAGTGAAGCATTGAAGAGAATACAGAACAAACATAAAATATCAAGATTTGGTCCTAAAATAACAAGACATTTGAAATCAAGGAAAAAAATGTAATTGAATACTGTATTGTGAGAGAGGGAGTGCCATTTGGTTTAAAAAGTATAGGAAACATCATAACAGAAGAAAAAGAAGAATTACTATCTTTGATTTACGAAGAAGTAGAAGAAAATAATTTAAATTTTAGAGTTAAACTTGATATTGAAGTCCAAATAGTAGCAAAACTCCCAGATAAAGAATATGGAGACAATGAATTTAGTTATAGATAAATTTACTTCATGCATGACTTTGATGAATATGTAGATGAAGATAATATAGACGATGTATTGAATAAAGCAGATGAAGAAATAAATACCGACATAGAAGAAGACCAAGATAAAGATAGTATAATTGGAATACAAGCATTTCATTTTGAATTAATAATTATTGAAGATATTTACTACTAACATATTTCTAATAATATTTATTTATTAGAATTATGGATTTGTAAGATAGGGTTATTAAAAGGTAGGGAATAATGTTTATTGTTGTCTATTGTTTTTCTTTTTTTTTAATGTTGTTCTTTGCTTGGTTTGTTTTTGTTTTTTTGGTTGTTATAGGAATTCTTGGAAAAACATTTAAGAAGATAATCATATTTATGTGTAATGGATAAATTTTGTAGATACTGTGTTAAAGATTTAGCAATTGATAATTTTGAAGATGGATTGAAGACTTGTAAGAAATGCTTGGAATACAAGAGAAATCACTATGACAAACATAAAGATAAAGTGAATGAAACACGAAGAACTAAATATAAAGAAGATGAAGAATATAGAAAAAAAGAAACCGGAACAAATACAAAACTATCGTGATAAAGTTGCCTTTTGTAATATATGTAATTCATCAATGAAGGCACACTGTTATTCAAGACATTTAAAAACAGAGAAGCATAAAAGGAATTTAGGAACGGTTGATGGATAGGATTTTGTAAAATGAATAAGATAATAATGCTTTTGACTGCTATGATTTTGAAAAAATGAATGAGGTAAGTATGCTTTGACTGCTATGATTTTGAAAAATTGAATGAGATAAGTATGCTTTGACTGCTATGATTTTCAAAAATTGAATGAGGTAATTATGTTTTGATATTGTTGAGAAAAATGAAGCAATCAACAATATTTAAACTGACTTTTTGGACTGTTATGTTTCTTTTATGAATAAATTTTGATTTGTTATACTGCTATGATATTAGTTTAGAAAACTTCACTGAATCAACTTTTTTTACATTTTTTCACCACACCCCACCCAAACCCCAACCGACCCTGAAAGTGCAAAAATTACGCGGTCGTGTGTCACAGGTGCCAACCAACATCGCTAGATCATGCTTTCTATGGCGAAACCATGGCGAGGTCAGGATCGCGAAGACGTTCCAGCACTGTGAGCCAACACACCGGTCGGTTGGGTAACTCAGATCTGAGAGACCAGACACACGGAAAGCAACATGGGGAGGTGTGACATTTTCAAGTCAGGAATTGAAAGGTGAAATGTGGTTTGAATATTTGTTGATCTCGAGAAATTTAGGGCACCCTTTGGATCCCTGCTTTGAGATGGATCTACAGGGCTTGCATGTGATCCTTGCAGCATTTTGAAAAAAAAACTTAGTCACAACCCTCGTTACATAGTGATTTGTGATGATGGTTTTTGATGCATTTTGTCTAAAACATCGTCCTGGGAAAGTTTGACCAGGTTGGACTCCGCAGCCACCCTTGGTTTGCAGGGCGAGAAGGACCAGTCTGTTACCTTGCAAGGTATGGATGCTTTCGTAGTAAAAGTGTTTCAAACATTTTCCAACTGTCTTAATATGTCTAAATTATGTATTATTTAATTGTTCCATGAGCGTGGTCCAAGTCTGATTGAGGCTGGAGAAGGCGTCAAGAGTGCTTGTGCCAAATGAGAGCGTTCAAGATTTAAGTTGCATTGCCAGAGTAGGAGCACTGCAAAGTGTTTATGGTTGACATGGGGAACAAATCAAACGGGTAGAAATTATCTAAGTTTCATCTTAACAGGCAAGATACGACTGAGTCTGCCAGGCGGAGGTCCATCAGATCATGATGAGCGCAAATCCAATTACAGAGGCTCGGGATTTTCTACGCACATCTCCAGAAATGACGTAGGCACATACGTGTGACTTTCAGCTGCAAATTGAAGCAAGGACACGGTTTGCTATGCTTGATGTTCAAAGGACCTAAAGTCTTACCGTAACTTACCAACTGAAGACTACTGAAGTTCTGTGTGTTTGTGTTCTCCTTTGGTTACCTCGTGGTCTTCACACCGCAGCCTTTGAGGCGCTGGGGAATGCTCGTACTCTTCGCAATGACAACTCCTCTCGGTGGGGACAGAGTCATACTGGACGAACATTTCTTGAAGTTGCAGCTTGTAACTTCCACAAAGAGAAGCTGACACAAATGTTAATGTTGCTGTTAGACTAGACAATTCATTGTTACACGAGGGCAATGAATTACGTCGAGCTCACATTTCATTTGATGCGTCACTGGTGCCATTTGCTGTCGCAGCTTTGGACGCTTTGTGAAGCTCTTCTTGAACGCCTGGACCTTCAGCCGCGAGTCAGCTTGCAATATGCGAAGCATTTCATCGTTTTAATATGTTTTAATTCCCTGGCATCTCGATCATGCTGTAATCCATACAGCATATATACGTACATATACGTATGTATGTATATATACATATGCGTGGTATGCTGAAGTATCTCTATTACCATGTAATTATACGCATCCAGGCCTTGATACCAGTTAGAGTTGAGAACAGGCAAAAGGTTGGAATCGATGTTTGAGCCCGTTCAAGATTGATGTATCTTACCTACGTATGTACGTATATACATAATGTACATTGCCGGTATTCCTTCCTTGCATATCCGATTATATAGGCTTCATTGTCTCTTTGAGATGTTAGTGCATCTTCCATGATTCCCCCAGCTCCAAATAAATACGATGTCAGAGAGGCACAGAGAGGCACTGCATGAAGTGAATGCTCAGGCAGCTGGGGAAATTGAGTGTAGCGAAATGTCCATCTATTCGTTGGAGAAGTCTCGCCCGACCTGTTTGCATTTACATTTTCCATGCATGAGGCCTCCCAAGTCGCAGTTGCACACATACATTGTTTTGAAACCCTTCAAAGCACTTGGCATCGCGGCTGGGATTTGCCAATGGTCTATCATGGGGATTCCAGGGAATTTCTTTGTATTCCGTGGTTTAAACAATTCTCAAAAGCCTGCAATTTGGCTCAGAGTGCCTTTGGAAGCAGACACAAAGTGCAACTAGACAAAATCCTCAGATGAATGTTCCCCAAAGCGAAACATAGAAAGGAATGGTTTTGAATAGATCGAATTGAGTCAGACCTGTTTCAACACTCTCCAACTGCCCTCACAATGGCCTTGATTGCACCTACATGTGTGGTTCTGAGAGGGTTTTTCCAGAACAATACACACCTGCGCTTGTTCGGTCATTAATTTTGATCAGACTGCATTGAGTGCCAAGTGTGAATAGTGTGAATAGTGTGAATGTATCACGAAAAAGACAACCAAGCAGATTGTGCAGTCTTCAGTCTTCAAGTTTTTCCGGATGTGAGAACAGACTGGCTCAAGCCAAAAGGAGCCCAAATCCCATCAACTAGAGCCGGAGGCTCGGAGGTGCTTATTTTCCTGCCATGCTCCTGAAGTGGCTGGTGCGAGCTTTCGTAGTGGTCATGGCTCGTGCAAGCGTTTCAGAATCTGCAGTTTCCAGTGCTCATAGTGCTCCAATTGCAAATCATGCAATGCTCGAAGTGGAAGCGACCAGCAAAACAAGTGCAGAAGAGCTGGACGAGATGCTCTCAGCCTCTATGAATCGCGCCCTGAGCCGAGCAGAGGTGGGGGGTTGCCGGACTGTGAACAAACCGTGCTGGGTCGATGCTCAGTGCTGCTCTGCTAGATGCCAACCAAGCATCCGGCGGTGCCGGCCAGTCCGCTGAATCTGCTGAGTCTGCTGATTTGGGTGCTGGGCGGTGACTGAGCCTTGGCACCCAGCGGAGTTGGCAGAAATTTTCGGGAAAGGGAATGCAGGGAATGCACCTAAGAGTGACATCTCCCTTGGCACAAGGCTCAACTGAGCGGCTCACATTTGAATTGCACTTCAAGGCAATGTGCATTCAGTGTTTCAGAACTTGAATTCCTGAAGTCGGCTCTGCAGTCACGGGGAATGTTAGCAGGCTCTTTTGGTGGCGCACTGACTCTGACAGATGGAAAAGTGAGATTGACTTCTGTGCAAAGGTCAAGTAAACACGTACTGATCTTAGGGTTCCAAACACAAATGTGTGAAATGGATGTGTTGGTGATACCAAGTTTGCTCTACCTAGATCGCAGTAACCTGCAATCCCGTGCCTGCAAACTGCACTGCAAGATTCAATTGACTAACATGGGATTCATATGGACTCATGCTCAAGCTGAAGTGTGAAACTGGCGCAGCCGCAGAATGTTTGACTCTTGTGAACGCTGCCTAGGAACTGGCCATGCATTACACAGATGAGGAGCCGTTGCACTTTTCTCTGAGGTGTTTGGCCGTGTTCATATAGCTGCTGTGGTGCTTGGAAGGTTTCAAGTCTGCTATTGTAATGCGTTCTTGTGATGCAACCATTCTTGGACAATTTGACAGTCGGTTTGTTCAAGTTCAAGCTATGTTTGACAGATTCAACATGATTCAACATCCCAATTCGACAACTTCCGTTGCAGATTTCTTTCTAGGAGCATGCTGAAGATGTCGCACTTCTGCAGGACCTGTTTGTGCGAGTTACTTTTGAGGGCTTTTGTGTTTCTCCCGGCAACTTATGACGCAAGGGGGTATTCCAGCGAGAGCCCCACAGCATTGTGAACACGAATGAAATCAAATGAATAAAGACATGACACAGAGACTGCTCCTCGGGCTAGCACGAGCAGTGTGACCAAGTTGCGATTCCGCCTTAGGAAGTCCTAAGTGGCCGGCGATGGACTCAGCTGAGGAGAGTCTTTGGCTATGCGGCTGTGGTGTGTGAATGAATCCAAAGCAAATTGAATACAACTTTTGTGTTTTCTTGGACAGAGTCGTTTTCACATTTGCAAATTCTTGTTTCCATGAGCTTAACAAATTCAAGGCTTTGATGATTCACAAGACAACATTAATTAGCCATACAAGAGGCAATGTTGCAGAGCAGACACAGCAGCATGGTGGTTTTTACGGGCTGTCTATACTTGTTATTTCTTTGCAGCTGGAGGGGACCAGCGCCAAGCTCGGCAGCCTACTATTCACATTTGCACATTCAGCAATTTCTCAATAATTATAGGAAGCACTTCAGGAATCTTCAGGAAGCATGTCTACGCCGCCCAGTGTCATGGAGGTTCAATGAGCAAGATTGAACAAGTGTACAGTATATTAGCATATAGGCAACAAGTAAGAATCATTAAGAATCCATAGGAAGCCATAGGAATCCACGTCGTCCGCTCCGCTGGCAATGAAGCGAAGTGCCTCTGATGCGCAGCTTGTGGCGCACGGCGAGACGAAAAGCTCAACAAGTTCTGGAATAAGGCAAAGAAGTGAAACAAAGAGAGAACCAACAAAGACAACCTGACTCACGAATAAAATCGAAGATGTTACCACATGATTTAACATTCAATTCAATCACACTCATACAGATTTAAGATGATTTAAGAGAACATACAGGGATAGGATGCTCAGAGACGAGCTTCCTGCAACTTGAACCCGGATCTGGCCCCTGGCGCTCGGGCAACAGTTTAAGATATTTAAAAAGGGTCAGAGAATTCTTCACGATAGCACCACAGCTTAATCTTCAGCTGCTACTCAGGATCTCCTCTATCCAAAGGGTCCTTCACTTCCTCCCAATATGGAACTCCTTTTGCCTTTTGGTTATGTTTCTCAATTGTGGAATTCAAATTCACGCAAGATGGGGGCTTGGTTTCAGGGGTTGTGGTGCAGGTTGCCACTCCTCCTGCATTTGAGTCCTCGAATTCCTGCAGATCAGCAAGCAGAACTGCGTGTGTTGGTGTCCTCAAAACCGCAGTATGCATGCTTCGCTGAATCGGAGGCGGGAGGGACCTGGGATGATTTCATCAATGTATCAATGGGTTTAACGTGACCTTTGATAATCTTTGATTCCGTGGTGAGATCTTTCAAATTTGAAATGCTGTCGCGGCTGTCACATCGTGTGTGAAACCGAGCTGTCCTGGGAGTGATACCCACGCCTTGGCAACATTTTGAACGTGATTTGTGATCGCAAACAAAGGTTGGACTCCAACTCATTGATTTCTTTGAAGTTGTGTACACATACTTGTGGAAGTCGAGCTCACATACACACATGACTCAAATTTTGCAAATACATGCAAATACACCTTATTTCACGAAAGAGAACTCCAGATTCCAGATGAGCCAGTTCTTGGTTTCAAGATTAAGGCATACACGGAACCGCCTAAATACTTGTAGTTCCGGCAAGGAAAAAGGCTAACTGAAAAGTAAGTTTTTTTTGAAAGCGAAAACAATACTTTCCTGCTCAGCTTCACTATCCAACCCTTTTGAAGGAGAAGGCACTTCTTGTTCTTCCAGACTTCCAGCAGGAGGAGTGAATTGTTGCCAACGGTGTCAGCTTGGCGAATGGGTTGAACGGTTGAACTTTTTTGGGGTCTTAGCATTGTCAGCATGTCTCAGCCAAGCAAAAGCATGAGGACTCTGGACATGTTCCGTCGCAGGAGCTTGCAGCGTTGGAGAAGCGGAAAAGAAGGGTGGTGGGGCTGCCGTTTGCTTGGGGCTCAACCGGCTCAACATCAGAAGTTTTGTCACTTCTGAAACATTCTGAGACCTGTATCTGTTCAAACTTCTTCTTGACGCTGGGCTCAGGTGCTCCGCTTTTTGCAAGACCCTGGATTACTGAGCAAGGCCAGTGGGGAAAGGTAAAGTGGCTGAATGGATCTGGATGGAACGTGCACGTGAAGACATCCCGTGCAAAGACTTTCTGTCCAGGTTCCTGCATTGCCACTCTACGACCTGATCTACAGATGCCCTGGAGCTCTATGCTTTTCTGTGCCGCAGCACAAACAAATTATGAGAAAAGAACTGAAAGACTTAGAAAGACTTAGAAAGACTTACAACTGAGAATTGATAGAATTGATTTGATTTTGAGATTTGAAATTCATTTTGATTCTGTGAAGATCAAACTTCATTGATCTTCATTGATCTTCATTGAGATATTTTAGCCATTTTTAGCCTGAGGCCATGGAGCCATGGCAGCGAACACGGAGTCAGACCTTGGCCAAATGGATGGGTGCTCGTTGCGCGCAAGATGTGGCATCGGGCACAGAGCTGCTGGTGGCTGCTCGCGCATCTTGGACAGGCACCACATTGCACCACATGGATCATCCACATTGGATCATCCACATGGCATATCATAGCACAACGTGGTCCAAGTGCAAACATAGTGCACACATGGCATAAAACTGCATGAAACCAAGACAGTGCAGATGCGAATTATACTAAGATGACTCGATGCTGGAACTCAGTACGGCATTGACAGTACTCAGGTCAGCATCCACCCAGACTCCAAGTACCAGGAAGCTCTGGCACGGCGGATTCCAATTGTGAAGCCGAGTTATCTTGAAGCTGTTTGGGAAACCAAGCGGCTGGTGGACGTTCAGTATCTTGGAATGATCTAGTTGGTGCAAGTTGTTCTTGAGACAAATACAGGAGGTAGGGATGGATAGGATGACTCAATGACTATTCGAACGGAAGGCTCAAGTGCATGTCATCGTTTTGGTCGCAGGCTTGTGATGGCTTGTGCATTGTGGATACCGAGGTTGCACCATTTGCTGCCTTTGGCTGGACTGGCAATTTGCTTTGACGCAGACTGCTGTGGAGATTCCCAGGTTCGTTTGAAGAGAATGAGCTTTCCAGAGCATACAAACAGCTTTATTGCCAGCGCTGTCCTTCCACCAAAATCCTGAACACAGCGATCCAGGTCTTTGGAATGTTACACATGTTGCCCCTCATCAATCAATGTTCAGTTGAGGGGACGAATGACTGGTCTAATTCTATTTTCTTTTAAAGCGGTGCAAACTCTTGTCCTGTACTAGTAGCAGTATTTCGTCCAAGAATTGCAAGTTGCAACCAGCAATCTCCGCATTTAATTCTCAGGATTATTGCTACCTAAGTAAAGGGCTCAGGAGCACCAACCTGAAGAGAATTGCCCTCGCTGCGCAGGGTCCCACAACTCTCAAAGATGGAGCTGTTGCAACGGGAGCTCCTTGACTGCAGAAAACATCAGAAAACAAGATAGCCAAAGAGAGCCAAGGGAGCCATAGAGAGCCGTACAGAGCCATAGAAAGCCATAGACCATAGGCCATAGACGGCCAAAAAATCTGTGAGGGTGACTGGCGTACATAGCATATGTTTGTGTACTATTATTTTCACAACTTAAGGCGCATCGAAAAGTGTGTTTGCATGCCCTTGAGACTCCAAGCTGGTGGCCAAGGGACAAATCGTGCCCTTTGACAAGGCGGAGGTTGTGATTGTGGCCGACACATCTCGATCACTGTACAAGGTGCGAATACCACACCTGTGCAGAATCTCATAGGCAATCTCGTGGGCATCTCATTCTTTGCTTTCTTCTCATGCATGTCTTATCAGGGCTGACAACGTACTCCACTTGACTCTTGTTGCCGCTTGTTGCTTGTCACTGACAGACGTCAGGAAGCCCGGAAACGAGGGCAACAAGTGGCTCCTCCAAAGTGGCTGGAGCGCTGCCTGCAGATTCGATGTGCGCTACAGATCTCTGGAGACCTGGAGGTCTGTGAAGACGAACATGTTGAGTGACTTCATGGGGGCATCGGGTCATGGGGTCCGAGCTAGAAGAGGTGGAAGGGAAAACAGAATTGGAGTGACATAAATGTCTGCAAGCAGCTACAGGGACACATAGAGTGCTGTAGTTTTCTGTTGAGCTGAAATGCATTAGTATACCCATCATCACAGTATCGATCATAGCAGCAACACTTGATTGCGGACTTTCCTTCTTGGCCACCATTTGCTCGAGCAGGTGCCACAACCAGGCGCCGTCTCTGGAAGCTCACCTGCCAGCATGGAGTCGAATTGCACAACGATGCTGGAGAGGTGTGTGCTTTGTCTATTGCTGCTGGGCAGAATTGGACCATCCTCAGACCATGATACATAAGTTGATTGCATTGCTTTGTGGATCTTCTTGTGCATGATGCAGTAGTTGACTCTTAAAACAATGTATAAAATATTGTAAAACATTTTTTTCGATGGATGAAGTCTGCAGGCTCTTCCAATACACGGAATGCAGTATAAAGGTTGCATCAAGTTAGCAGGTTCAAACTGGACGAAACTGCACTAAGAGAGCAAGACGTTGGCACATTTGAGAGATTCTTGTTGTTGCGCTGGCTTTCGGCATGGTGCTTTCGAAGCAACCATTTTCTCAGGTATTTGGAAGCAGGCTGAGAAAGTCCTTCGGACATGCGAGAGCCAATGACTAAAGAATGTAAAGACGAATTATCAATGAGACAACAGAGCAAAGAAATTGCAACACAAAACAAGAACAATAAGAACAAATTTTACCAGGAAACAATGTGACAATGTGACATAGGCACAGATCCGAGGTTTGAATGCGAACAGTTTGAGCATGAATCTCATGATTGAAGATGGAAGATGGATTGTTTCTGGAAGATCTAGCCGTCAAGATGTTTCGAGCTGCACTTCTCTTCATTTTCTGCAGAGTCTCTGCGCTCGTTGCGCTCGTTGTATCTCGTTGTATCTCGTTGTATCTCGTTGTGCTCGTTTTTTTCATTTCTCGTAGGCAGCCGCGAGGCGGCCCGTGCCTGGGCTTGGCGCTGTGGAG